CACGGCAAAACATGGCAGAAAACGCCAGATCACGTCAGAACACGCCAGATCACGTCAGAACATGGCAGATCACGTCAGTCAGAACACGGTAGATCACGTCAGAACACGTCAGAACAAGTCAGATCACGTCAGAACACGCCAGATCACATCAGAACAAGTCAGATCACGTCAGAACACGCCAGAACACGTCACACGTCAGAACACGTCACACGTCAGAACACGGCAAAACATGGCAGAACACGCCAGATCACGGCAGAACACGGCAGAACAGGGCAGAACTCGTCAGAACACGCCAGATCACAGCAGAACAGGGCAGAACACGTCAGAACACGCCAGATCACGGCAGAACACGCCAGAACACGTCACACGTCAGAACACGGCAAAACATGGCAGAACACGGCAAAACATGGCAGAAAACGCCAGATCACGTCAGAACACGCCAGATCACGTCAGAACATGGCAGATCACGTCAGTCAGAACACGGTAGATCACGTCAGAACACGTCAGAACAAGTCAGATCACGTCAGAACACGCCAGATCACATCAGAACAAGTCAGATCACGTCAGAACACTTCAGAACACGTCACACGTCAGAACACGTCACACGTCAGAACCCGGCAAAACATGGCAGAACACGGCAAAACAGGGCAGAACACGCCAGATCACGTCAGAACACGGCAGAACAGGGCAGAACACGTCAGAACACGCCAGATCACGGCAGAACAGAGCAGAACACGCCAGAACACTTCACACGTCAGAACACGCCAGATCACGCCAGAACACGTCAGATCACGCCAGATCACGGCAGAACAGGGCAGAACACACCAGAACACGTCACACGTCAGAACACGCCAGAACACGTCAGATCACGCCAGATCACGTCAGAACAGGGCAGAACACGTCAGAACACGCCAGATCACGGCAGAACAGGGCAGAACACGTCAGAACACGTCACTCAGAACACGTCACACGACAGAACACGTCAGAACAAGTCAGAACACGTCAGAACACGCCAGAACACGTCACACATCAGAACACGGCAAAACATGGCAGAACACGGCAAAACATGGCAGAACACGCCAGATCACGTCAGAACAGGGCAGAACACGTCAGAACACGCCAGAACACGTCACACGTCAGAACACGGCAAAACATGGCAGAACACGGCAAAACATGGCAGAACACGCCAGATCACGGCAGAACACGTCAGAACACGCCAGAACACGTCACACATCAGAACACGGCAAAACATGGCAGAACACGCCAGATCACGTCAGAACATGGCAGATCACGTCAGTCAGAACACGGTAGATCACGTCAGAACACGCCAGATCACGCCAGAACACGTCAGATCACGGCAGAACACGCCAGATCACATCAGAACAAGTCAGATCACGTCAGAACACGCCAGAACACGTCACACGTCACACGTCAGAACATGGCAGAACACGGCAAAACATGGCAGAACACCCCAGATCACGTCAGAACACAGCAGATCACGCCAGTAAGAACACGGTAGATCACGCCAGAACACGCCAGATCACGCCAGAACACGTCAGATCACGTCAGTCAGAACACGCCAGATCACGCCAGAACACGTCAGATCACGTCAGTCAGAACACGCCAGATCACCTCAGAAAACGTCAGAACACGCCAGAACACTTCAGAACACGTCAGATCACGTCAGAACATTTCAGATCACATTAGAACATGTCAGATCACGTCAGAACACTATTGTCAGAACACATTAGATCATGTCAGTCAGAACACGCCAGAACACGTCAGATCACGTCAGAACACGTCAATCAGAACACGCCAGATCACGTCACTCAGATCACGTCAGAACACGCCAGATCACGTCAGATCACGCCAGAACACGGCAGAACCTGTCAGATCATGTCAGAACACGTCAGAACACGTCAGTCAGAACACATCAGATCACGTCAGAACACGTCAGTCAGAACACGTCAGATCACGTCAAATCACGTCAGTCAGAACATGTCAGTCAGAACACGTCAGATCACGTCAGAATGCGTCAGTCAGAACACGTCAGAACACGTCACTCAGAACACGTCAGATCACGTCAGAACACGTCAAATCACGTCAGTCAGAACACATCAGATCACGTCAGAACACGTCAGATCACGTCAGTCAGAACACGTCAGTCAGAACACATCAGATCACGTCAGAACACGTCAGATCACGTCAGTCAGAACACGTCAGATCACGTCAAATCACGTCAGTCAGAACATGTCAGTCAGAACACGTCAGATCACGTCAGTCAGAACACGTCAGATCACGTCAGAACACGTCAGATCACGTCAGAATGCGTCAGTCAGAACACGTCGGATCACGTCAAATCACGTCAGTCAGAACACGTCAGAACACGGCAGAATACGTCAGATCACGCCAGAACACGTCAGTCAGAACACGCCAGAACACGTCAGTCAGAACACGCCAGAACACGTCAGTCAGAACACGGCAGAACACGTCAGTCAGAACACGGCAGAACACGTCAGTCAGAACACACCAGAACACGGCAGAATACGTAAGATCACATTAGAACATGTCAGATCACGTCAGTCAGAACACCCCAGATCACGTCAGAACACGTCAGATCACGCCAGAACACGTCAGAACACGTCAGATAATGTCAGAACACGCCAGATCACGTCAGTCAGAACACATCAGATCACGTCAGAACACGTCAGATCACGTCAGTCAGAACACGTCAGATCACGTCAAATCACGTCAGTCAGAACATGTCAGTCAGAACACGTCAGATCATGTCAGAATGCGTCAGTCAGAACACATCAGAACACGTCAGTCAGAACACGTCAGATCACGTCAGAGCACATCAAATCACGTCAGTCAGAACACGTCAGATCACGTCAAATCACGTCAGTCAGAACACGTCAGATCACGTCAGAGCACATCAAATCACGTCAGTCAGAACACGTCAGATCACGTCAAATCACGTCAGTCAGAACATGTCAGTCAGAACACGTCAGATCACGTCAGAATGCGTCAGTCAGAACACGTCAGTCAGAACACGTCAGATCACGTCAGAACACGTCAGATCACGTCAGTCAGAACACATCAGATCACGTCAGAATGCGTCAGTCAGAACACGTCAGATCACGTCAGATCACGTCAGAATGCGTCAGTCAGAACACATCAGATCACGTCAGATCACGTCAGAATGCGTCAGTCAGAACACGTCAGATCACGTCAAATCACGTCAGTCAGAACACGTCAGAACACGGCAGAATACGTCAGATCACCCCAGAACACGTCAGAACACGGCAGAATACGTCAGATCACCCCAGAACACGTCAGTCAGAACACGCCAGAACACGTCAGTCAGAACACGCCAGTCAGAACACGGCAGAACACGTCAGTCAGAACACGGCAGAATACGTAAGATCACATTAGAACACGTCAGATCACGTCAGAATGCGTCAGTCAGAACACGTCAGATCACGTCAAATCACGTCAGTCAGAACACGTCAGATCACGTCAAATCACGTCAGTCAGATCACGCCAGAACACGTCAGTCAGATCACGCCAGAACACGTCAGTCAGATCACGCCAGAACACGTCAGTCAGATCACGCCAGAACACGTCAGTCGGAACACGGCAGAACACGCCAGAACACGTCAGTCAGAACACGGCAGAATACGTCCGATCACGCCAGAATACGTCAGTCAGAACACGGAGGAACACGGCAGAATACGTCAGTCAGAACACGTCAGAACACGGCAGAATACGTCCGATCACGCCAGAACACGTCAGTCAGAACACGGCAGAATACGTCCGATCACGCCAGAACACGTCAGTCAGAACACGGCAGAACACGGCAGAATACGTCCGATCACGCCAGAACACGTCAGTCAGAACACGGCAGAACACGGCAGAATACGTCCGATCACGCCAGAACACGTCAGTCGGAACACGTCAGATCACGTCAGTCAGAACACGTCAGAACACGGCAGAATACGTAAGATCACATTAGAACATGTCAGATCATGTATATTCCTCATTTTAGCTAAGATGAGACCTTACTATAACGTGCTTCCAGTGATAATTTGTCTAAAAACAATATAAAAAAGCTTTTTGTGGCGTGACTTAAGACGCACAAATCATATTTTTTCCAGTCAGACATTGTGGTCAGATATAATTATAGTAGTATAAATGAGATGGGTTAGGGTTAGCTGAATGTGGTTCACACACTGATCTGTTCCCAGTATTACTCTGTGACCGTGAGTTAGTGATTAGTGACCAGTGATTAGTGAACAGTGATTAGTGACCAGTGATTAGTGACCAGTGATTAGTGACCAGTGATTAGTGAAGTGATTAGTGACCAGTGATTAGTGACCAGTGATTAGTGACCAGTGATTAGTGAACAGTGATTAGTGAACAGTGATTAGTGAACAGTGATTAGTGACCAGTGATTAGTGACCAGTGATTAGTGACCAGTGATTAGTGAACAGTGATTAGTGACCAGTGATTAGTGACCAGTGATTAGTGAACAGTGATTAGTGAACAGTGATTAGTGAACAGTGATTAGTGACCAGTGATTAGTGAACAGTGATTAGTGAACAGTGATTAGTGAACAGTGATTAGTGACCAGTGATTAGTGAACAGTGATTAGTGAACAGTGATTAGTGACCAGTGATTAGTGAACAGTGATTAGTGACCAGTGATTAGTGACCAGTGATTAGTGACCAGTGATTAGTGACCAGTGATTAGTGAACAGTGATTAGTGACCAGTGATTAGTGAACAGTGATTAGTGACCAGTGATTAGTGAACAGTGATTAGTGAACAGTGATTAGTGAACAGTGATTAGTGACCAGTGATTAGTGAACAGTGATTAGTGACCAGTGATTAGTGAACAGTGATTAGTGAACAGTGATTAGTGAACAGTGATTAGTGACCAGTGATTAGTGAACAGTGATTAGTGACCAGTGATTAGTGACCAGTGATTAGTGACCAGTACCTGGCGCAGCGCACCCAGTTGATGTGCTGGTTGAGGGAGAAGAGGAACTTCTGGCGATGGACGGTCCAGACTTTGATGCTCTTGTCATCAGACGCGGTGACGAGTGTCTGACCATCACTGGAGAAGCTCACGCTGCGCACCGTCCCCGTATGAGCCCTGAACACAGAGGACTCGCCTTTCCTGAACACAACACACACACACACACACTCCTGTATGAGCCCTGAACACTGAGGACTCACCTTTCCTGAACACAACACACACACACACACACTCCTGTATGAGCCCTGAACACTGAGGACTCGCCTTTCCTGAACACAACACACACACACACACACACACACACACACTCCTGTATGAGCCCTGAACACAGAGGACTCACCTTTCCTGAACACAACACACACACACACACACACACTCCTGTATGAGCCCTGAACACTGAGGACTCGCCTTTCCTGAACACAACACACACACACACACACACACACACACACTCCTGTATGAGCCCTGAACACAGAGGACTCACCTTTCCTGAACACAACACACACACACACACACACACTCCTGTATGAGCCCTGAACACTGAGGACTCACCTTTCCTGAACACAACACACACACACACACACACACACTCCTGTATGAGCCCTGAACACTGAGGACTCACCTTTCCTGAACACAACACACACACACACACACACACACACACACACACACTCCTGTATGAGCCCTGAACACTGAGGACTCGCCTTTCCTGAACACAACACACACACACACACACACACACACACACACTCCTGTATGAGCCCCGAACACAGAGGACTCGCCTTTCCTGAACACAACACACACACACACACACACACACACACTCCTGTATGAGCCCTGAACACTGAGGACTCACCTTTCCTGAACACAACACACACACACACACACACACACACACTCCTGTATGAGCCCCGAACACAGAGGACTCGCCTTTCCTGAACACAACACACACACACACACACACACACACACTCCTGTATGAGCCCTGAACACTGAGGACTCGCCTTTCCTGAACACAACACACACACACACACACACACACACTCCTGTATGAGCCCTGAACACTGAGGACTCGCCTTTCCTGAACACAACACACACACACACACACACACTCCTGTATGAGCCCTGAACACTGAGGACTCACCTTTCCTGAACACAACACACACACACACACACACACTCCTGTATGAGCCCTGAACACTGAGGACTCGCCTTTCCTGAACACAACACACACACACACACACACACACACACACACACACACACACACACACACACACTCCTGTATGAGCCCTGAACACTGAGGACTCGCCTTTCCTGAACACAACACACACACACACACACACACACACACACTCCTGTATGAGCCCTGAACACTGAGGACTCGCCTTTCCTGAACACAACACACACACACACACACACACACACACACACTCCTGTATGAGCCCTGAACACTGAGGACTCGCCTTTCCTGAACACAACACACACACACACACACACACACACACACACACACACACACACACACACTCCTGTATGAGCCCTGAACACTGAGGACTCACCTTTCCTGAACACAACACACACACACACACACACACACTCCTGTATGAGACCTGAACACTGAGGACTCACCTTTCCTGAACACAACACACACACACACACACACACACACACACACACACACACACACACACACACACTCCTGTATGAGACCTGAACACTGAGGACTCACCTTTCCTGAACACAACACACACACACACACACACACACACTCCTGTATGAGCCCTGAACACTGAGGACTCGCCTTTCCTGAACACAACACACACACACACACACACACACTCCTGTATGAGCCCTGAACACAGAGGACTCGCCTTTCCTGAACACAACACACACACACACACACACACACTCCTGTATGAGCCCTGAACACTGAGGACTCGCCTTTCCTGAACACAACACACACACACACACACACACACTCCTGTATGAGCCCTGAACACTGAGGACTCGCCTTTCCTGAACACAACACACACACACACACACACACACACTCCTGTATGAGCCCTGAACACTGAGGACTCGCCTTTCCTGAACACAACACACACACACACACACACACACACTCCTGTATGAGCCCTGAACACAGAGGACTCGCCTTTCCTGAACACAACACACACACACACACACACACTCCTGTATGAGCCCTGAACACTGAGGACTCACCTTTCCTGAACACAACACACACACACACACACACACACACACACACACACACTCCTGTATGAGCCCTGAACACTGAGGACTCACCTTTCCTGAACACAACACACACACACACACACACACACACTCCTGTATGAGCCCTGAACACTGAGGACTCGCCTTTCCTGAACACAACACACACACACACACACACTCCTGTATGAGCCCTGAACACTGAGGACTCACCTTTCCTGAACACAACACACACACACACACACACACACACACACACACACTCCTGTATGAGCCCTGAAAACAGAGGACTCGCCTTTCCTGAACACAACACACACACACACACACACACACACACTCCTGTATGAGCCCTGAACACTGAGGACTCGCCTTTCCTGAACACAACACACACACACACACACA